CCTCCTTAAACCTGAGAATACACTCTGTACTTCAGAGCTAAAAACACACACACACACACACACACACACACACACACACACACACACACACACAAAACCAGGAAACAAGAACCTGCTGATCAAACCCATACAGCCTGATGTGCTGTTCTGCATCTGGACCAGCTAACAGTGTGCTGCTGGGTCTGAGAGGTTCTGGAGCGTGAGCCACTCCTCACACACACAAAAGGTTGTTTTTGTATCCCTGTGGGGACCGTGGATTGACTTCTATTCATTTTCTGGTCMTTTTAAATCCTAACTCTGAACATTTACCCAAAAATTAACCTCACCTACCTGACCCTAAAACTAACCTAAACCCAACCCCACCCAAATTTAGCATCCGTACACATGGGGACACAGTCCCAACAAGGCTGCCTTTTTCATAGCAAAAACATGCCCACACCTGTCCCTCTCTGAATGTCTGACCTGTTCAGTACAGATCAGCTGATCTCCAGGTGATGGGAGGCAGCTGTCAGTCTGTGGCACCTCAGGTGAGTTGGTGGTTTTTCTGAGCACAGCGGAGAGCCGGGACTTCATATCCGGTCAGCCTGGTGAGACCAGTCAGTCCCTGAACCTCCAGATGAAAAATAACTGCTCACTTACACAACCAACACAAGGTTCCTGCACATTTTCTAAACATTTCAGGGGGAAAATAAAATAAATTTATCACCTGTGTTTGTGAAAAGTTCATGTTTTGATGATTTGATTCAGAGTGAAACTCAAAAAGCAGCAAGATTCAGGGTTTGGATAACATTCTRCCAACAATATGGAGTAATTATTGAAATCTGGTGGCTTGAAAACAATGTTTCTGTCACTCCCTGACTACCAAGTTAATGTGAAGCAGACAGAAAGACTGTGAAAACTATTATTCAGATTTGAAACGTTCTTGAAACAACAGAAAAACGTCTGAGCTGAAATACAAACGCATCAATCAGGGCGTGGCTCTGCACCCGCTGCATTCTGGGAAAAGTTTGAGAGAAAATCAAACGTTTTAAAGTGCCTGTGACATGCCCATCTCCAAATACAACAGCTTTGATTGTAGGAAACTTGGCACAAAACATATGACTTTACCTGATTTGTCACAGAACTGGCATATTTTCTTTGAACTTGGCTCAGTCAAAGTGAAACAGGAAGTGACATCAAAGGGGAACTCTTTAAGAAGAGGAAGTCTCTGGTCTTTTTTTAAAACAATATTTAAACTCTGACTCTTCATCTCTCCAATACTTAAAATAATCTAAAGAAACAGATTATTCTCTACAGTTTGTTATTGTAGCATCGCTCTATTTACATTCAGACATTCCCCCTTTTGACATCACTTCCTGTTACTTCACATGAAAATATCTCAACAACTGTTCATCTCAGCTGTGTGAAATTTATTTTGCAATATGTTATCAATGTTATCTTTACAAAAATGTATTCATATTTCTTACAAAAACTTGATGTCAYAGACACTTTAAAGCAGTTGGAGAACTGGGTGAACTGGGCACGTTCTGATGTATCATGTTTTTGTACCAGTGTGGGGTGAAGTTTGTCTCTTTCCTGTCCTTTCTGAACCCAACCAGCCGAGGCAGATGGCCGCCTGTCCTGGTTCTGCTGGAGGGTTCTTCCTGTTAAAGRCAGTTTTTCTTCTCCACTGTCACCATGCTGCTCAGGATGGAGACTGTGAAGAAGTGAATCAACACAATCTGCTGGCTTTCTTAGATAACTTGTAGTAATCTTATATAATTGTTTATAATTATATAATTGTCTTTTATAATGTGGATATTTTTGTACAGTGGTTCTGAGACGTCTGTTGTGAAGTGGTGCTTTATAAATTAATTGAATTAGTTCAGTCAGGTCAAGTCCAACTTTCTGCGACCTGTTTAAACTTTAAGGGTTGGGTCTGCTGTCAAGTCTGAGCTGCAGACACGACCTTCTCATCCTTCCTTTAGTTTACGCTGTGTGACAGCACACTGATCCTAGCAAAGCCTCACATTTTCATTTAAAGCTGTGCCAGAAGATACAGGACAAACGTGAACAGAACGGCTCTAATGCTGCTTGGATGCATTGATGAACCTTAACTACAGGGAAATGATCAGGTAAAAATGTCTTGTTTTTCTTGAATCAAACAGGTGTTATCTGCAATGTGTCAACACAGTTTTAAAGATCATTTCTTGTCTTTCAGCTCAATTTGGATTAGTTGAGCCAAGTTCTCATACACACATTCTCATATTAGAGAGAACTATCTGACCTTAATGCTAGATAGAAAACACAACAGTAGCTAACCTGGCTCTCTAAAATGTACAAACCTTTCACATAGTTCAGTGAATCTAATGGGTTTTATAAATGAGTACAACTCACTTTGTAAAACAATTCATTTAAGTGTGGTAAAAAAAGGAACCCCTCAGGTGGGTCAAGCTCTAACAGGTGGGACTCAGGCCTCCAAGTGTTACACAGCTGTCTGAGCAGATGGTCCATCTGAAGTTCAAACCATGTCCAACCAATCAGTCTCATCTGAACAAGAAACGACTTTATGAAACCTCTGCTGGACCAAAGCTGGAGGTCCCTGTGTATAAAACCAAAGCTGTAACTACACACTGACATCACAGCTGCTGTGGAACAGTGTCTGCAAAGGAAGATGTCTCAATCCATGTGTGAGTCCTCAGTGTTTGTGGAGCTCTCTGAGGCTCAGAGTCAAAATTCAAAAAAACTAAATCAGTGTCGACTTTTTTTTTCTCTCAAAACAGTCACAGAATTGTCTCGAGGGTCTCAAAAACACCAGGAACATGTTAGTTTTTGTTAATTGTACAACACTGCAGCTGTATTCTGACACCTGGTACTACAGAAACAAAGCAGGGTTCAACAGTTCAAATAATAAGTAAAAACAAAAACAATGACAACTATGTGAGATTACATTCATCCATTTATGACTTCTGCTTTTTGTGTTTTATAACAACTACCTTAAATTAGCTTTTAGCAATCAAGTCTACATTTTGTTTGGATTTCTAGAAACCGTTTGAAGACCTTTAACTTGGTGTTTTATAATCTGTGGAGCTCCAACAAAACAAAAAGCCATTTTAAAAAAGTCAGACCACAGTGAGAATCCTCCTACAGGTTCCCAACAGTCTGAGTCCAGTGACCCCCACCCCACCACCACCAACACCCACCCAACACAGCACAGCACACACAAGCAGCCTGCCGAGCTGCCACTTCTGCACCTCACCAAGTTTGAATAAGAATTTATTTTACATTCTCTACCAAATGCAAGACACAGAGCCTCATCCAGTAAGAGTGGTGGTTTGAAGAGTACAGAGGTGAGGTTCTCTGTGAGGAACCAGCTGAGCTCTCTGAGCTGCCACTTCAAGCTCTTCTAATGTCAGCAGACATTAGAGGCTCAATTTTCACTGTGTGATCTGAACGCAGGCTGAAGTGAAAAGAGTGCAGCTGACAGGGACTTAACAGGGACTGGCCTGGTTAGCTCTGATACACCAGGAGGGGACTGAGAGCCAGCAGCTCCAGGGAGTGACAGTGGACTGAAGAGGACAGTGTGTGRCTGATGAGGTGAGCTGAACAAAGACAAACAAGTAGAGAAAAGATGTGTTTGTGTGGGAATAACCTGCCTCCAAYCCTCTTYACATCAACACTAAGCTTCCTGCAAACAGCACAACTTCACAGTGCTGGGRCTGAACAGCACGAGGGAGTCTGCTAAATGTTTTCTGTTTCCTTATGYGAGTCTGAGGGGTGCAGTCCTGCCGCTTAAGTTTTCAACATCTTCCAAATTAGCGGTTGTGATCTTTAAAATCAAAAMTRTGGCTGCACAAACTTTAAAAGTTTAGTGACATTTCAATTAGAAACATTTTTGTTAATTTGCACTAACAGGTCAGCTGCAGCCTTCAGACATGGCCTTCTCTGTTTTGGCAGATTTACAAATGAACCCTAAACATCATTACAGCCTGATCAGTCTTTAAATTCTACTTCTGTCTGTCCAGCCTTCTCTGATGCCCWGGTGCGATGAACAAGGCTCTCAGTGCTGCAAATGAGTAATAAGTGGAGGGGTTAAAGACAGAGGGATGAAAGGTGCTGAAAGAACAAAGGAGGTTATAAAGGGCAGTTTCAGAGGAGATGGGAAGCAGGTGGTCCTTTAACAGCAGCCTCCTCCAGACTGCCTGACAGGGGTGCTCTCAATCTTTAGGTTGGGCTTGTCCCCGCTGGCTGTGGCCCCCGGCCCCATGCGCTTCTTGATCTCAGCTGCCATGGTCATGAAGGACTGTTCTACATTGGTGGCATTCTTGGCACTCGTCTCCAAGAAAGGGATGGCCAGAGAATCAGCAAACTCCTGTCAGGAAAGGGAGAGGAGAATAAAACATGTTTTCTCTCTAACAGACTGGAAACACTTGGAGCTCTAATGAGTTCTGTATTTGGGCTCTGTGTCCCAGAAGTGCTTTGTTTRAACCAAATGTTGAGGTCTTTAAAAAAAGATGACACAAGATCTTATTGAAACKAGGGATRCATACAATTAATCGACTTATGATTAATTGTYGAATAATGGTTTATTAGATTAAAATTTCTTCCACTTGATTAATTGAAAACATCCGTTTAAACCTTATTTCAAAGTAGTTTTGACTTCATCCAGCAGAGAGCACCGCTGCTCTCAGCTTGGCCCTGTTAAACTGAGCAGAAAGACGTCCCGATGTGGGTGGGACTGCAAATGTGCAAGTCTTATTTAGTTTTATTTGTGACACAACAATAATAATGGACTGCACCAAACTGGAAGGAAAAGTACCGAAGGCTGTACTGGAGCATCAAGCAGTATGATGCTAAAGACAAGAGAGCAGGACGACAGAACAGTAAGCTAACTGTGGCTAACGTTAGCTTCTTCTTGCTCAGTTTAACCCTGTGTGAAAGAACAAAACAAAAAAGTTACAGTCGCTAAAAATATTAACTTGAAGTTACTCTAATCTGTGTGATGTAATCTTTATCTAAAAATATTACCCTGTGTTTAAACTGTAGTTTTTCATCTTCAGTGTTTTACTTGTTTTATTCTTTCTTTTTTCCAACTAGCAACTTAACAGATTCCTGTTTTGTTATGTTTTATAAATATGTCCAAGTTTAATAATGTGAGAGAAATCCRCATTTCTCTGTTCAGTCAGTGTTTAACACAGCTGGCACAATGAAWTGTTAAAATATAATACTGTACTTTTTTAATTTAGTGTAAAACATAGTCCTTCATGTTATAGAAAGACTCTTGATTCAAGAGAAATGTCAGGTTTTTAGGAAAATGGCCGCTTATCAATTAATTGTTAGTCGATTGATAAGACCAATCAACTTTAGGTTAATCCATTAATCGATAACTTGCATCCCTAATTGAAACATTTGTGCTTTRGTCAAAAGGATGCATCCATTCAGCTGGTTGTATGAGTGTCTGCTGCTGGACCATAACAGCTGTGTGTTCTTGTATTTTACCAAATATCTCATGAACCACTGTGCAAATTTTAACAAACCTTGAATTGGATAAAGCATTGTATGTTACAGATACAAATCTGTTTGTACCCTTGTGTTTAGAAGAAAAACTCTGAAAAGTTCACYGACATCAGCTGAAACTTCAGCAACACCCTCATTTCTGAGGATGGGTCCACAATCCGTTAGTCTGTCTCAAGCTCCATGCTACCATCACTCATGGACAAGAGGCCAGATACTTACTTATTTGCTTGAGTCAAAGACTCACCCCGACCCGGAACGAGCATTTTACCWTTTTCTAGTTGAAAACCATGGCCTTGAACTTGGAAGAGCTGACTTATAGCCCAGCTGCAGTGCAMGCTGATGGTCAAGGCCTGAAGACGCCAACAGAACCACATAAAGAAGAGATGAAACCCYGAGGTTCTCAAACCAGACACCCTAATCTCCACTGCACCTTGGGCTCCTGTCCATGAATACCACAAACAGGATCAGAGATTACCAGCCCTGGTCCAAYCCAAACTGAGGATGAGGCTGACTTCATGGACACATCTTCCGCTTTGGTTCTACAGGTACTGATAGCTCTTAAAGAGTAACTTATCCCAAAATTAACTTTTTTTAGCTGATAAACTGTCTAGAATGTGTCTAAAATGTTATATAGTACTGTTTCTTTGCCAATTGTGATATTTTTGTGCATATTTGTTCAAATCTGTAATATTTGGTCTAAATACGTGTTTTTGCTGCTCACATGGGTAGAGCACTGGTACTGCAGGCTAATTTGCATATTTGTTAATGGTTCTCCATGATGATCTCTGTCTCTCTCTGTCTTCCCAATCTTCAGACTGTCTCCTCAAAGCTCGTCAGTGGTTCCCCTACAGTACCAGCCTCGGGAGGGGAAGTTTCTGGTGAAGGTGGGAAGTTCTGTTGGGAGGGCAGGCCACCCWCCTTATTAACAGTAGGTAAATAAGTAGTTTCATTAAAAACCATTTAGTGGTTATTGAGAAAATCTGCTGACAGAGTTGACTCCAAAAAGTYACTGGATAATCTTTAATGTTGCTGGGGATCATGCTCAGCTATCACCACAACAAAGTTTAGCTCRGTATTTGTAAAATACACTTTGGTATAACCGTTTTTGTGTTTYTAAAGCCAGATGACAGTGGTGGTCATCCCAAAAGTTAAGCAGTTATAGATGTACTTCCAACAACGACTTTCAAAGCATTCCAATAAATGTCATCTAATGGTTCATAATCTAATCTGGTAACAGACAGACAAACGTGTGCACAGGTAAAACATTTCTGACGGCCATGCCAGGTGTGTTTCTGGTTTAGTTTTGAGCTGTTGTAAGAGCAGAGCTCACTGGTTAGAAGACGGTAGTCAGAGTAATGGAGAACACCTGGAACTGGAGCTCCACATGATTCAAACTTGTGGATTCTCTCRTTTTGCTCTCATCTAGGGCAGATCTTGTGTTGGTTTGTCCTAGTTTGTATTCTGATTGGTACAACATGAAACATTTGTATTCACTCTTCCACACGACAAACAGACTTGTCACTGTTGGACTAGTTTGTTTAGGTATTTAGGTTGCATTAAAGGGGCAATATCACRTAAAATCAACTTTGAGTTTTATATCATGTTATAATGTTAYACTCTCTTAAAAAACATGCCCAAGGCCTTGCTTTRACTCATTCATGCATGTTTGAGAAATCCTGCWGYGTTTTTAGGAAGCCAYGYTGAGGAGCAAAACGACAGGTGGGGACCAGAAACRCCTTTTGCGACCAGAAATGCCCCTGGGTTGTGTCTTTATGCCGAACTTTCTCATGGCAGGGCACCCCCCTGCTCCATGACCCCGGCAGGTTACGTGCGGACATGGGCGTGACCGAAGTGGTTGGATTTTCTTAAAGAGACAGAGACCTATTTCAAGGCGTTTAGAAACTGTCAAGATGAGAAGTAAAAYGTTTTGGGGATTTTTACAAATATATAGCTCTTTCATAAGCTGAAAATGTGACAGAGTTACTTTATTTTAGTATAAAATTGAAATACAGGCTTGGAAAGCATATAATATCACCCCTTTAAAATGGATTTTAAATGATTGTTAGTTTCTTTGTTTTAACTCTGAGAGCCAGGCTGTGACACTTTATTGCCTGCATTTTGCATGTGAGCAGTAAAACTTATTTTTATTCCATACAGCTAGTTCACATACCTTGGCTGTTGTGTAATCCACTACTTTCTTTGTTGTTAAGTCACACTTGTTGCCCACCAGAAGCTTGTTGACATTTTCACTAGCGTAACGGTCAATCTCCTGAAGCCACTGTTTGACATTGTTATAAGACTCCTGCAAAATGACATCATGAAAACAGAGAATTATTAATACTGATGTTGATCTGTTCAACATGTATGTTTGCTTTAGAGACTGCAGAGTGAGTCTGCTGTACGACAACCATCCCTTAGAGTTTGGTACTTAGTAAATCAGAGCAGGCTGGCTCACCTGATCAGTCACATCATAAACAACTATAATGCCATGGGCTCCACGATAGTAGCTGGAGGTGATGGTACGAAACCTCTCCTGACCTGCAGTGTCCCACTGAAACGCAGCATACAAACAAACACAAAGAGAGGAAAAAGAAGGCATTAGAAAAATGATTTAAAATCCCTTCAATAAATGCATATGGAATGAATAAATGAAGCTTTATTTGTCATTATCTCAGGAAAACTAAAGTGTACAGCTTGTCCCAGTTGTCTGTGCAGGAGTGCAATGGTTTACAGCAGGGCTTTCCAATACAGAAACAGTAATACCAAACACTAAGTACACAAATGGAAACTTGGGACTTTAAAATGAAAACTAAAACATTTTTTTCTCTTTCATTATTTTAGCAAACAGAAACAATTTTGTGAATTCTTTTAGACCTAAAACAGAAAGTGGAGGTAAATTTAAAAGTTTTATTTACACACTTCACACTAAAAGCTACTCAAGGTGCTGTACAAAACTGTACACAATAAACCCACAATATAAAAACATTTCACTCCCCCAACATGAAAAAAAAAAACAAGAGAGAAATGATCCAGTTGAGGAAATGCAGTTAAAACAATGGTCTTATGTAAAACAAACTGGGTCCATATCATTTTATACAGTGTACAGGTCTTCTAAAAAAAATTAGCATATTGTGATAAAGTTCATTATTTTCTGTAAGGTACTGATAAACATTAAACTTTCATATATTTTAGTTTTATTGCACACCAACTGAAGTAGTTCAAGCCTTTTATTGTTTTAATATTGATGATTTTGACAAAAAAGTAAAGAAAAATCAAAAATCTCTATCTCAAAAAATTAGCATATCATGAAAAGATTCTCTAAACGACTTATTAACCAAATCATCTGAATCAATGAATTAACTCTAAACACCTGCAAAAGATTCCTGAGGCTTTTAAAAACTCCCAGTCTGGTTCATTACTCAAAACAACAATCATGGGTAAGACTGCTGACCTGACTGCTGTCCAGAAGGCCATCACTGACACCCAGAGGGTAAGACACAGAAAGACATTTCTGAACCAATAGGCTGTTCCCAGAG